CCATTCAGTTCTGATTTTCTATGATTCTGTTATAACCCTCATGACACAAAAGACCCAGGAACACTTTAAGGACTTCTAATTTCTCTCATTTTTTGCCCCAACCTAGAAGGTCTAGAAATTTCAAATATCTGTCATACTTTCAAGAGTAGTTGCTAGCTCCCTTTACTGTTTGAGCACCCAGTCTAAAAACACAAAGAGTTTCATTTCTAGCCAAGACTCATCTCTGAGCCCATTGAAAATAAAAACATCTTTTAAGCCATTCCCCAAAAACCTATGTAATCTCCATGACTCACAGTATAACCCTGGCTAGGGCACTGATAAAAAACAATTGAGGTTTTCTCCCCACACAACATGGTGCTCCCTTTCATGGCACCTCTATTTGTGCCAGGTTGCTTGTTTCTAACAATTCCCACCTGGTGCACCACTGCTATCTCTTACTGATCAACACTTTTTCCACTAGCTCTCTTTGGTCTTGGCTCAGGCTGCTGCCCTCTATAATTTGATAGCTCCAATTTCCTTGAGCAGATGGTACTTATCATCTGCTGAGATGAACACACAATATTCTTTTGGTTGTGCTTAATTTCATCCTTCATCAATTCATACAAATCTTCCTATATTTCTCTGAGTTCCTTATATTTATCTCTATAATATTCCATTGTATTCATGCAATAGCTTTCTCCCTGTAATTTCATAATTGACAGACAACTTTGTTGCCAATTCTTCATTACTACAAAAGTATGACAATAATTTGTGGCTTGTGGCTCTCACTTTGTTTGCTATTCTCAGTAATTCATCTCTCCTCCCACAGATAGCACTGTAATCTTTTCCCAGGGCCAGGCTCTGCAAATTTCTGGAGGGAATATCTGCTGCTGTTTTCCTGGGTTATTGAATGTTGTTTTATTCCAAGATCTCAGGGAAAGCTTAAGCAGGGGATTTATAAGCTTTCAGTGCCTGATCCAGGGCAAATTCTGATTGTTGTTTCTCTGATCTGAGTGCTACAAGTTCTTGACCTGAGTCTGAGCAATATGCCTGTGGGCTTACCCTATTTAGAGTGCCAGTAGACTACTCCTGGACTTAGCCACTTTCTGTGAACTAGAATGCTTTCCTGGTTCAGAGTGACAGAACTATAGGTTTCCTTTGGGTCTGTGGTTCTTGCCCTGGTTATTCCTTTGTAGGCTTACGATTAGGATAGAAGCTAAAACTAAGACCCCACTGCATTCCTGGGGTCTGAGCCACACAGCTGCTGCTTCCTTCTTAACTTCTTCATTACTTGATACACAGGCTAGGAGTCCCAACTACTCCTTACCCTGGAATGTCAACCCTATGTACAAGTCCTCTCCTCGGTCTGTCCTGGCTCTGTGATCCAGAACAGAACTGACAGATGGCACTTTTTTCTGTATCTTATACAAGTTTAGGCCCCACTATATTGAATGTAGGACCTCTTCTTTCCCTGGCCAACAGCCTTTACTGGCTCTAGAATATTCTGCCATGCATGCTCCTCCAGTATCCATGGACCTCTCAGTTTGTCTCCTCATGCTGATCAAGGCTGGAAAAATTACTCACTGTGACCTTTTTTTTGCTGCGACAATCAGGGTTAAGTGACTTGCCCAGGGTCATATAGCTAGTAAGTGTCACGTGTCTGAGGCCAGATTTGAACTCAGGTCCTCCTGACTCCAGAGCCAATGCTCTATCCACTGCACCACCTAGCTGCCCCTTTACTGTGACTTTTTAAATTGGATTTCCCAATCAGGATTCAGTCTGGTGGCATTTCTAGATCTGTTTGGAGTAGTTGAAGGAAATGAAAGAGCTTTTTCCTTCTACTCTGTCATCTTGGTTCTGTCACTTAAGCAAAGAGAATTTCAAAGCTGAGTGTGAGAAGAGTCTTTATGCTATAGAGTATCTCTTTTAATATATTTGATTTTATTCTTTTTGCTTCTATAGTAATAAATAAAGAACTATATTCAATTAAACCACACTTGTACAATTGACTTCATTATGCTAAGCTCACACAGTTAGGTCCATTGAAATTTAGCAGTCAAGAAAAAGGATTAGAATTAGGAAATGGAGGCTGATCTAATTGGGAGTCTAATTGGGTAGATCCACAAAGACCATGTCTGTAGTGAGATTAGCATTGTCACTCATTCCAGAAAAGAACCAAGGGTTTGCCAGTTCTCCAAGAACTATAGAGAGCTCGATTTTTCCTAGGAGTGCCCCTGGTATTGGATAAAGAACCTAAAACCAGGATGAGCTTGAGATTACCAGTGCCTGCTTCTTAGAGTTGAACAAGATCAGGCAAGCAGCCAGTAACACCACCTGGTGGCTAAATCAGAAAACAAGAAATTATGCCTGACCCATCAAAGAAAGATGACCTGACCAATACTCCTTAAAGTCCTCTTGTACACAGGAATATCTGGGGCCAGGGTAGGCATAGTACTGCTCCCTCCCTTCCACCATCATCTCCAGGGTTTTAGCCTTCATCCTAGATTCCATTGCTGACTCAGGCTCATCTACCCAGCTCAGCATTCCCGTGGCAGCTACTGACTAAATCAATGGATTGTTCGCTTTTGTTAGAGGATTAAGTTGCCAGTCTGGCTAACTGACCAGAGGCTTCTGCTACAGGGTTTGTGGGCACAGGACAGTATAAGCAGCAAGGTCACTATCTGGTAGCCTGACTGCTCTTGTCATTACCTGTTGCTCAGCAAGGGTCTTTGGCGAAGGACATGCCCAGGTAAGCTGGCTGAGGGGGCACTCCAAGGAAGTTCTGGGGAACCAGGAAACCTGAGTTGGCACCCAGCTTCTCTAGGGGATTCAGAAAGGAGGTATGGAAGAATTCCCCCTACCATTCAGGATAGGAGACACTGTTATGAGTATGTTTATTCAGGGTGCCCAGTAAGCATTGAGGGATTCAGCTTATACTCTCTGTAGTATTGCTATAGTTTATATGTTGCTTTGGAAGCACTCTTAAGGTTATCCGTATTTGTCCTGTTTTATTCTATCAGACTAGAAGCTCCCCAAATTTAAACACCCCCAACAGATTATGAGTTTCCCAGTGGTAAGCCCTCTATCTCTCCTATCATACTGGTTGTTTCTTAAGGATAGAGACTGTCTTTTCTGAAGATTTAAAAAAAAATTGTCATTGCTTTTTGTTATTATGTAACAGTGATTTCTGAGGAGGGGAAAAAAACCTTCCTTTTTTAACAAAAAAAAAAATCACAGTTTGTTCCCCACCTCTCAATTGTGAGGAAACAGGTAAATTTCATTTTTCATTCTCTGCAACCATCATTGGTTTTCCATTTACTCAAAATTTGGCTTTTTTTAGTGATCGTTTTATTTGCCTTGTTATAATCATTAAACACAAATGTTCTTTTGTTTCTACTTTTTTCATTCTGCATCAGTTCATACAAACTTTCCCAAGTTTCTCGGAATTCCTTATATTTGTCATTTCTTACTACATAATAATATTCCATTATGTTCATATAAATAGGTTTTTCCTTACCATTTCCTAATTGATGTTTCCAATGTTCCAATGTTATTTCCAGTTCTTTACCAGTACAAAGAATACTACAATTGTTTTGTATATATTGAAGCTTTGTTTTTATTTTTGGCTTCCTAGGGGTTTATGCCCAGTAATGGGATTGCTGGGCCAAAGGGTATTGACAAAATTTCATTTATTTTCTTGCATATCTCCAAATTTGTATCAGCACAGTTGAAGCTCCACCAACTTATATCTGTTTTCCCATAACCCCTCAAACATTTACTCTTCTTGTATTTTGACATCTTTGTCAGTTTATACTATTGAGTTGAAACCAGTTGTTTCCATTTGCATTTTTCTTGTTGTTAGTTATTTGAAGTATGTTTAAAAAACTCATTTATAATTCTTTGGAAATTTGATTATATCCTTTGACCACTTATTTCCTGGAGTTTTATTGTTATGTTTCTCCTTTAATTTCCCATATATCTTGGATATCAAACATTTATGAGTGACAGTTGATCCAAATGCTTTTCTCACTTGACAATTTCTCTTCTATCTGCATTGATTTTATTCATGGCAAAATTTTATTCATGTATACAATTGAAATGGTCTGTTTTGTCTTTTATGAGCTCTTCACTCCCTTGTTTGGGTGAGAAGTCTCCTCCAGCCATCATTTTCAAAGTTACTTTCTCCCATTGGCCTCTGTTTTATGATGTAATATTTTATATTCAGGTTAAACATTCACTTTGGTTCGATTGTTAAATATAGAGTAAGATATTGGTCTGAATCTAATTTCTGCTACACTGTTTTTTTATAGTTTTCCCAGAAACTCTTGTCAAAAGTGAGTCCTGGGGCAGCTAAGCGGTGCAGTGGATAGAGCACCAGCTCTGGAGTCAGGAGGACCTGAGTTCAAATCTGGACTCAGACACATAACACTTACTAGCTGTGTGACCCTGGGCAAATCACTTAACCCCATTGCCTAGCCAAAAAAAGAAAAAAGAAAAAAAAAGTGAGTCCTTCACCCAGTAACTTTTGTTCTTGGGTTTATCAAATTATTGACTAGGGCAGATAGGTGGCACAGTGAATAGAGTACCAGGCCTGGAGTCAGGAAGACCTGAGTTCAAATCTGACCTCAGACACTTACTAGCTGTGTGACCCTAGGCAAGTCACTTCAACCTGTTTGCCTCAGTTTCCTTGTCTGTAAAAAGAGTGCTTCCACCTGTAACCTCTCCTCCAGTCATAGAAACACACCACATCTAGCCCTTCTTATTTAGAGGCATAGCTAAGGGGAAATGAAACGAACATGAGATTTAAAAACAGAAGATCTATGTCACTTCAACTTTCTGAGCCTCAGTTAGAGCCTCATCTCTTAAATGAAGATAATACCTGAACTATCTAGCTCCCGGGGTTGCTAAGAGTATTAAATGAGATAACGTATGCAGGCTACTTTGTAAACCATGAATGAATGAAAGAAAAGTTCTTACTACGTTCCTGAAATTCTGCTAAGCTCTGAGGACACAAATGTAAGCCAGAGAAAGCATTTCCCTCGGGATGATGCCTCTTTTTACTATGGGACCTTCCCCCCTGGTAAGTCCCTATGTCTCTTGTGGCTTACTACATCTTCCATTCATGAAACTTGGTGGGGGAAAGTC